GTCTGTCCCTGCTCTGCTCAGGCCACCAGCCCGCTGTCTGTCCCTGCCCTGCACCAGCCTCCAGCTCACTGTCTGTCCCTGCTCTACTCGAGCGTCCAGTCCCCTGGCCGTCTTTGCATCATTCCAACCTCCAGCCCTGCTCTGCTCGGTGTGGGAGGATATCCTTGACATCTGCTAATGACAACAATAGACAATTTCAGTCAATTGGCTTCCAATGGCTTCAAGGAGGGGTTTTATCAGCCTACTCACTTCGTTAACATTTGTTCGAATTTAGACAATAAGTATAGACATTGGCTTATTTAGCTCAAATAGGATCCACTGCCCCAACCCTCTCTCTAATGATCTGGTTGAATAGTAGAGATTGATCAATTTCAATTGGTATCATAGGGTTTTATTAAAATACTTGAAGAGACACAAAATGTCCACAAAGCTTTCTTTCTGGGAAATGAAAATGTTTATTCTTCTTTAAAAAATGAAATTGGCTTAAGCTGTAATAAGATAACTGTGTGTGGTCTGTGGACAATATGGGCTTAGTGTACAAAAAAGCCTCATTTTGTTTGAATTGAAAAACTTTATGGATATGAGATTCATCATATATGGAACTGTATTAACATTCATATTTATATAATTGAGTATGAAATTTGGTCAGCTTTCCTTTCGCTAGAAGTTTAAATTTGTGATTTCCTTTTATAGTGATTCTGGAGAGGTTATGCTTAAAATTTGCAATATCATGCCTCAAGACAGTGGAATATATAGTTGTGTGGCTCTGAATGAAATGGGATCAACATCATCTTCAGCAACAATTAAAGTGCAGGGTAACTGAATCTTTTCAAATCATTTTCATAACAAACTGCTTGATGAAATGCTTGATGAACATCTTCGCCTTGAAAAAGTTTTTCTCCTTAATTTTCCTATATGTTTTTGAACCTCCAATTTGGGATATTAAGTAAGTAGAATTGCTGTGTTATTTCATTGGTTGACAGTCACCAGGTAAATCACTGCTTTACATAGTAGAAAATGTTGACATCTTGAATCCAGTTTGCATTGTGAATTATCACTGGGCAGTGAGGCTACATTGGATTGAGATTTAAATCTGTGATGGCAGAGATCAGGCAAGCACATTAATAAGTGAACCAATTGTTTATTTTATCATGTTATTGGAGTACAGTACCAAAAACTGACAAAAAAATTAATCCACTGGACAAAGCAGCAACCTTTTTAATCTTCCCACCCCTGCAATGATAATTCTCCTTACAAGGATGTCTTTTTCCAGGTTCTGTTTTAAATAACCATTGCAGGTTCTGTTTTAAATAACTATCGAGCTTTCACTTGCCTCTTATTTTATACTGTCAGCAGAATTGCATTACTCTTGCAGCACAGCTAAAAGATGTTGCCTTAATAGTGCTTCACTAAACATCATATGGGATTATACTTTTTAACGGGGGAACAGGGAATTTCAACTCCAAGGTACTATGGAATTGGTGGGAGGCAGGTAACAATCCAGTGAAACAAATTCTGGCAATAATGTTTTGAAAACCATCATAAATATTCTAGCTTTGGTGTGCTCGTGTTAAACCAAGAGAAAAATGGTTAGCTGTCTCACAACGAATACGTCGCAGTAGACCGCTGCAATTTTGTTTGAGTTGAAACACTATTGTGGTTTTGCAAATCATCAAGTATGAGACGTTATTGATATTGACAAGCATAAACAGGCAATTCATTAAATTATTTAAAATTTTTGACTCCCTCATCCCTTCCTCAAATACTGAAACAATTCCCATTCCAGAGCATTTCATTTTCAGTTATGATTTATTGCTCCGTACCTGCTGTGTTGATTTTCTCCCCATTTTCAGGTGTACCAGCAGCCCCAGGCCGACCTATAGCCCAGGAGAGGAGCAATAGCTCTGTTATTCTGAGATGGTTACCTCCAGCAAGTACCGGAAACTGCACCATTTCCAGTTACACTGTTGAATATAGAGAAGAAGGTAACCAATGAACAACGCGCATGTTTTCCAGAATATTGTATTTCAACAACATTTTATTTTCAAAAACGTTTTTGCATGTGCTCTGTCACCCCATTCTTCCCATTTACTTGCAAGGAGTGAGAAGATACACTTTCTGTTAATCTCAGTTCACCACATTTTGGGTAAATTTGAAAGCATATTGATTAAAAGAAGAAAAATAACTTGAAAATGTTGTGATCACCAGCTGTTCAAATAAGGAATTCAGGTACTTAGGAACAGGAACATGGGAATAGGAGTAGGCTGGTCAACTACTCCAGACTGTTCCACCAATGAGATCATGGCTGATCTGTAACTTAATTGCAATAACTTGCTTTTGCCAGCATCTTTTAATACCTTTCATCCATAGGAGATTTAAGAACCTCAGATATAAAATGAACAATTTATCAAGCATCAATTGCCATTTGGAAGAGAGTTCCCAACTTCTAACAACTTTAACTGTAGGACAGCTTCCTCATTTCACTCCTGAATGATCTGACTCTGATTTTGAGATTATCCCCCTGGTCTAGTCTCCCTACCCAGCAGAAATATTTTATCTCTCTTGGCCTTACTACTCCCCATATTATCTTGAAAACCTTAATCCAATCATCCCTTAAACTTCTAAATTCCAAAAAATCTAACTGGCTTATTCAAACTATCTTCAAATTTAAACTTTGGAATCCAGGTATCTTTCAACTGCAGTCCCTTCTCAGGCAGTACATATTCTTCCCAAGGTGTGAGGGAACTGCTCAACATACTTCAGGTGTGATCTGACCAGGGCTTTTTGAGAGTGAAAGTTGACTTCCAGTCCCCTGTGTTCTGGTTCTCTAAATATAAACACAGCAAGCTGAATCTGACCAGAAACAGGCTCAGTGTCAGTTCTGGTGAGTTTCATGGAGGGTTTCTCTCCATGAGGCCTAGCCAATTTACACCAGCTATCATCCCAGACTCACCTCATTGCCTACGCTGCATGTCTCCACTCATCCCCAGAGGTGCAAATACTCATCAGTGCCAGAACCTCTTCAACATTAGACTCATCCAGTGTGGTTGGGGGACAGTGAACTGGGATCCAACCACTTTGCTATTTATCTGCTCCTTCTCACAACAATGGTGGGATAAATGAGGATAGAGTGAAATTGTGGACTGCTACAAAATAGGTGTTCCAGTGGCCTACATAAAGGATGTAGCTTATTACTGTGGAACATGCTCAGAACCCTGTTTTCAATGATGACCTTAGGAGTTCTGTTTGAGGAAGATTGTAAAAGTTTCGCATAAGGTGTTAGTAGTAAGAGAGTGCATTACTGTCAGAGGTCAATACTGAGAGAGTGTCTTATCAATTAAAAACATGCAGTTGTTTTCGTTCAGAGATAGTAAGAACTGCTGATGCTGGAGTCTGAGATAACACAGTGTGGAGCTGGAGGAACACAGCAGGGCAGGCAGCATCAGAGCAGCAGGAAAGCTGATGTTTTGGATCGGGAGAAGGGTCCCAACCCAAAACGTCAGCTTTCCTGCTCATTTCTGAAGAAGGATCCCAACCTGAAACGTCAGCTTTCCTGCTCCATTTCTAAGAAGGATCCCGACCCAAAACGTCAGCTTTCCTGCTCCTCTGGTGCTGCCTGGCCTGCTGTGTTCCTCCAGCTCCACACTGTGTTATCTCAGTTGTTTTCATTAATGTTCATGAATGGCAGTAGGCTAAAAACTGCAGTTGGTATATCTCTCTGCATATCATTTTCAATACAATTTCTAAAATCTTACCGAATAAGATGTTTCTTTAATGTGTTTTTGTTGTTCTAGTTCATATTTCCACTTACAAATTATTATTGATTAAGGGTTAATGTGGCTGTTTTCACCTTTGTTAAAATGTGTAACTGGCTTACCTAACTCTGGCTCAGTGGCCACCTGTTTAGACAGCAGTCAGATTTTCTCAGTGTTTTGTACATGGATTAGCTCCATCCTTTGTTAATTCATGCCTGAAAGATGAAGCAGTTGAGTCGTAGGTTATATCTACCATTCTGTTTTGTTCAAATGTTCTAATCCTCTGGCAACGGAACTCTTTATTGCATTTTGGTGAGCAGATAACCTTAATGTGCTAATATAAGCAAAAATTTAATGTGCGAGCATTCATAACTTGTTTTGATGTAATGCAGAAACTAAAGCAAGTTGCACTTTACCTTTTATGTTTGGTAGTGATTTCTCACAATTGTCAGCTGATCAGTAATATCCAGCAATGTACCTGCCATATTAGTTTAAGTACTGTGACTTCTTAAATTGAAAATAATAATATAGTTGACAAAAGACAAGTACTTGCACTGAAATGGAAGAAAAAATAATATTGGAGTCCTTCAATGTTTAGGAACACTGGCATGGCAGCAATCAGTAGCATCCACTTTGGACACCTACCTTGTGATTGAGGACCTGATTCCAGGCTGTCAGTACCAGTTCCGAGTCAGTGCAAGTAATCCTTGGGGAATCAGCTCACCAAGTGAGCCATCTGATTTTGTAACACTGTCTTGCAGCAATGGTAAGTGCAGCTGAGTTCTAATTAGCCAAATGTCTTAGAAAATGTTCACTGAGAGCAATTCTGAAAGATGAAATACTAATTTATCGAGGATATAAGAGCCTTATTATTTCTGTTTTTTGTACTTACTTCTAAAGTAATAAGACACAAACAAACAATGTACTGAACACTGAAAAATTTGGAAGATCACTTATCTAGACATGACACTGAAATTTTGCAACTTGCAAAGCATTGCTGTAAGAGGTTCAGAAATGAATCAAATACAAGCGATTTATTGATCAGAATGTCAGAACTTCTTCATATTAAACCAAACTCTAATCAAGTGTGTGCCAGATATCCACTGAGGCTCATTGGCCCAGATTTGCAGCTAAGGATTATTCAAAAACTACACACGTGCCTTTTGATCAGTTCTGCCCTCAAATTTCCTGGACAGGTGATAGCGAAAGACCCATCTAGGAATGTTCACAACCAGCGGTGAAGACAAGGTCTTGCTGGGTTGTCAGGTCAGGGGCTTTCAGGAATCAGTGAGGGAATGGTCAGATGTTGTCAGTGTTCAGCTGGGGCCTCAGTTTAATAGTTACTCTGGAATTAGAGCAGGTTTCAAATTCTGTATCTTTTCTTGGTTACCCATTAAATGCAGTTAAGTAGGAATCCTCTGAAATTCCCATCTCTACTTCAAAGCTGGGGACTTTTCTGGAGGATTTTAGGTGCCAGGAAATGCCAACTTCCTGGGCAATTCCCGCAGAGTGAGCCACATCAGGATTTCCTCATGGCCCTGACATGTAATTCCAATCTTCACTACTGCGATGACTAACTCCCCATAGGAATTTCTAGGGTTTATATTGTTCATTCAGCTCATGCACCCAATGAAAACTCAACACAAGGTTCAATTTATCTTCCTATAGCAAAATTGAGCTTGTTTGATCCTAAATCAGGCAAGAGTTGAAAGAACTGAATTGAAAAAAATATCTATTTCATTTGTTCATGGGATGCATGCGTCAATGGCTCGGCCAGCATTTCATGTCCAGCCCTAGGTGCCCTTGAGAAGATGGTGGTGAGCTGCCTTCCTGAACTGCTGCCTTCAATGGGCTGTAGAGATACTTTGGCGCTGTTAGGAAGGGAGTTTCTGGATTTTGATCCAGTGACACTGAAGGAATGGTTGGTGATATATTCCCAAGTTGTGATGGTGAGTAACTTAGGAACTTGCACATGGTGGTGTTCCCATGCTTCTACTGCCATTTGTCCTCTTTCATAGTAGAGTTTGCAGTTCGGTAGATTCTATGAAGGACTCTCAGTCAGTTGCTGCATTCACTGTATTTGCCCACTTCCAGAGAATTACAAGTGCTGGAATTTATGTGGTGAGGGTAGTGTACTGCCCAGCATCCCCATTGGAAAACTGTATCTTCCCCACACAAAACAAAACAAGGCTACCTCTCAGTGATAACATGCCATGGGCAGCCTAAACAAGCAGTGAGACTGATTTCTGTCTCTCAGTGGGAGGAAGTCCCACCGTGGGACAAGAAGCCCTATGATAAAGACAGCAATGGATTCTCAGATGAATCCAGGATTTTTCAGAGGGAGAAATCAGGCACCCTAAGGATATAGTGGGGCAGCATGTTTGGGAGGCCAACTGGGGAGAAAAGAGAAAGGTATATCATCTTGGGGAGCGGATATCCATGATGCACACAGGGCATCATCCCAAAGGTTGGACCCCTACCGTCCTGCTTTACCATGTCAGATGCTGAAAAAGTGGACTTTTCACTGCATGATAACATGGACAACATACTGGGTCAGTTGGCTTGTTAACAAGTTTAAGAGCCCATCTTATTTTTTAAATGGAGAGTGTGTTGCCATCCACACCCAACTGTCTACAATATCCTAAGAAATTGACACGTCGATGTTGGGTTAATGACCTGGCATCATCATGCTGCTATTACTCTCGTGTGGCATGGCAGAAATCCTAATTTGCAAACAGAAAATCCCATTCCAACACTGATTTACAACTCACAATTACTTGTTGTAGGCCTGACCAACTAGTGGACCATCACTACTATTAGTACAATTGCTCTCAGTATCTTTTTTGCTTTTTTAAAAGTCAATTAAAACCTGACTCAAAATTGCTTCTTCTAATCACTTTTGATCTCTACTCAGAGCCTACAAGTGATGACTCAAGAATTCCATGGAAGGATAACTTCGAATCTGCTTACACAGAACTATATGAGATTGGAAGGTAGTGTAAATCTGGATTGCAAAAGTATTTTAAAGATTGGGGAGGTATCTTACACTTTTGGTATCTTGAACATCTAACTTCATTGAAAGCGAGTGTCCAGCTATGTTCCTATATTTATTGTAAGGCCCAAATTTATCCTCTGTTTGGCAATACCAGCTTTCTCATCTCTTGCGAGTTGATGATGAATTTTTCCACAAAAAATTGCAAGTGAAAATAAATGGGCTTTATACACTTTGATGACATTGCTAAAAACTTTCATGAAATGAGAAAATACGTTGGGACTTGATGTCTTTATGAAGATTTTACCATGCTGTACTTATATTTGGATATGTCAATGTTTAGAATGTTTGGGACAATTTGCAATTTGTTTTAAATTGATTTCCTTAAATGAATCCTGCAGAACTCCACATTTTCCAAAGGGTAAATGACAAGCTTTGGATAATCTGTGGAATTGACGAGAGTTTAATTCTGAATTTAAGAGATAATTGCATGACCCTAAAGCTTGGTACTTTATGACATTAACTTAAATGATTTTTTTACTTCACAAGAATATTAAGGCATTTAATTCTAAGCTTTTGTTTGCTTTTTTTTTCTTCTCTCACCGATTTGTAGTGCCCCAGCTTAGATCGGCTACCTCAGAATGACAAAGCTAAGGGCTTCTTATCTGTAAAGCCTAACATTATATGAGATAATGCCTTTATCCACTGAGCTATTGAGACAGAATTTATTTTTACAGCAGGGACACTCCATCTCCTTTGCTCCTATTATGGGATATTTAGATATATGATTCTGCATGGTTTTTGTATTTGAATGGAGATATGTGTATAATTTTTCTGTGACCTGTGAAGTCTTGCAAGGCAGAATTTAATGGATTTGATGCAGCTTCACTGCACCAGTGGTACAGCTGGTGTGAAATCCTGTCAAGCACTTAACTGGGCAGCTTGAAGCCTTCCATGGGATTCAGAATGCCTGACATGGCAGTCCTGTCCATCAAGAGCTTTGGTTCCTGTTGGTTATCCTCTGAGGCCCAATGCTAGATCCCAGGGCATGGGCACCATAGATGTGGGAGAGGCTAGCTGACAATATAGTAGGAGGGGCATCAGAGAAAAGTACTGCTGGGGTGGCTTTTCTCTGCCCCAACTTCTCAGTAGGGTTTCCGCAGTGACTGTCAAGGGACATGAGAAAGTCAACATGTTCAAAAGAATCTCTGAGCCATGACCAAATTCTGGTGGGATCAGAAAAAAATTAGCTTCAAGTGTCCCATCATTGAGCCTAATTACCTGCAGTACTACATTTACCGACATTTCATTCTTGTCTCCCAGGAGTGAATATAAATGTCACCTCTTCAGGTAAAAATAGCCTGCTGATGTTAAACTGCCCATCACTACATTTACAAGCGATTGTGAGGACAGAACAGATCTGGGTTAACAGCAGTGGCTATTTATAAAGAATGACTCCCAGATA